CTTGGGATAAATCCAGTATACGCTCGGGCATGTTTTAGTTCGAGGATCTCGAAATAGTATCTGTTTGTTTTCTCAAACATCGCAATTTTGAAGACAGAGAGCTGCCGAGATCAAAACATTTAAATTACTAGCTGAAATAGCACTTGATAAAGTCGGCAGGGTGCAGCATTGACCAAGCGAGCTGGCGTGGCGATAAGATATTAAAACGCCGGAGTCTCCCAAAGCTTTGTGAAAAACGAACGAGAACGAGACTAGTCGTTGAAAGTAATCACAGAGACATTTCGTCTAGTGTCAAGAGTTAGTTATTCGTCATACAAATCAGTATTAAGAAAATCTCCGCAACTGTCAGAGGTCCAGAGTAGTCGGTCATAATCTGTGTTACCCCCGATACACAAAGCAGATTCGTGATTTCTGAGTCGAATTAAGAAAATTTAATAAACACCTAAGTACCAGGAAATTCTTCAAAAGTGATACAAAAATAGCGTTATTTGCTCCATTTTTACTTTCTCCCCTTTACTTCGTAAAAATATATGGCATTGTCATCGTGCGGTAGAAAACTGCAGAAAACTCTCTTAGGGCTCTAGTAACGAAAAAGTAGGAAAATGTTGTTCCAATACTTAGCAAATGACTTCCTCTAACACAGGGGTCTTCAACCTTTTACCCCTTTAGGAACTCTTTGAGTTAATGGTTTTTTGAAGGAACCTCATGTTAAAGATGCAATTTACCAAAGTTTTTTCTACTCAAATTTGAAAAATTATTTAAACAATCAAAAACGAATAAAATAGTGTGGTTGTCACAAAACTTATAATTTAACACTCGTTTTTTTTCTTTTTGGATATCACAGTACAACATTTTCAAATACATATTTTATTTTTTACATATTCTGAAACACGACTTTTCGTGAAATGTATTTTACACATCATTAGGTGAAAACAAAATTCATATAAATTCATTTATGTCTGAAAATGAAAAGAAAATCTGTAAATTAAAATCCTTATTTTTGTGTTTTATGGTTTTATCTGTATACTTTTTTAATTGATTTATCCATCTTTCATGTTAGTACAATGAGCTGCCTTTTTATATCCAATTTGTATTAACATTATAATTTTACTTAAATATTATATTATTCTCATATTTTAGTAAGACAGTCCAATACCCCGTTTCTACATCAAAATTCCTTGTATAGATGATTTCCGTTTTACGTGTTTTGGATGAGGAAATAATGATCACATGCGGAACCCCTGTCAACGTTCCAGGGAATCCTAAGGTTTGGAGAACCCAGGTTGATGACCCCTGCTCTAACATGTTTAAAGTACAATTCCATGTTTCGTGGGTCCTCGATTCCGAATAATCGATTAACAAAATATTTGTTTGTCCGTGTGTGTGGTCAGGTCAACTCTAGCACCTAAACCGTTCGGTTGATTTTCTCGAAAATTGATATTCATCGATCGATTTATAGGAGAAAGTAGAAAATATTGAAGTTTAGTTGTTCGAATCCTCTATTCATGGAATTTTAAAAAGTACCAAATTATAGCATAGCAACCACATTCTATACTCTTAAGCATTTCAATGTGTAGTTTCCAATAATAATACATATTCCATAACCTAACATAAGCATTTTTAATTTATCTAAGCATTTAATTATACATAAATTTTTAATGACAATAATAATGTTATTAATTATTATTATTACTATTATTATTACTACTATTATTATTTTTATTATTAGATGCTTTAATTGAATTTGCCGAAATTACCCACTTGTTAGTACAATTTCTTCTCGTAACGTCCTGTCTAAAATTATGATCAATCCAGTTCTTGATAGTAACCTAAATGAAGTAATTAGATAACCTGCGCGTGTCCGTATCGACTTGGCTGTCCGGGAGACCCGGCGTACTAGGCAAAGTGCCAACGTTTCTGCCACCATTCTGCGACCTTCCTCAGGGCGAAATGTGTTAGCATAAACAGCTGTGCCTATGTAATAGAACGAGGCGTCTCCTGGACAGCCAAGTCGATACGACCACGCGGAGGTTATCTAATTAGTTAGTAGGGAGTTACTAGGGGGTTTATGACAACTGCGTCAGCAATATCGATCTTCTGCGCATGCGCACCTGGTGAGCAACTGACTATTTTTATCAACTCTTTCCAGAATATTCTCATGGAATCATCCAAAACGTATTTTGAGGTTTGATCACATCAAACACGTTGATGGTAGTTAAGGCATCTAAAGAGGTGAAACGCTGTGAATTACTACACTGCCTATCCGTCACAATAAAAATCGTTTCAACTTGATTAATTAGATTGACAATGATTAAACCTAATTTTGTAATGAAATGTAATTTTTAAATTTCTATCGATACCTTTTCATATAAATTTTTATCTCGATGGTAAACGAGCCAGGCAAAAGTAGTTTGTTTGAAATTTATTTTTATTATGAACTTGTATGGCAGAATTTAATTTTTTAACATAACATATTCCGTCGGAGTCGCTACTACTAGCTACTATCAAGTAATAGAAAGAGTCGAAGGAATAAGTAACTCCAAAGATTCGTCTTAGAATTCGGAATAGTGAAAATTTAGAAACCGAAAATTACTGAATGGTTCTTATATTATCTTTTGTCATTATTTTCAGACGTTTCGACTTAAATGAAGAGGAAAGACTTGGGAATATGCCTTCCTTTCTGCCAGTAATACTATATTCTAATCGTGTCATTTGGCACACATTACCTTTCTATTTCTTCTTCTTTTTTTTTATTATTATTATTATTATTATTATTATTATTATTATTATTATTATTATTATTAAAAAATCAAATTCCATTAATATATTTCCAATCCAAACCCAACATTTTATTTTTATTTGTGGAAATGAATTGAATGAATTAGCAATACAGTGTCTTCCTAATCTGTCCCTTAATGTCTGCCAGCTGCATACGACATCTTATCTCATTTTTCTTGTTGCTCACTCACAAATTGAAAATTGTAAACTTATTTTAACTTAAAATTCTCATTCTCACATTAATACTAATACTTTCGATATTCTTATTAATTTTTCCCTCTTATATACGTACTGAGTCAACGAAATATGAGTGTCAAAATTGAGATCACTCAAACAACTATTCCAAAATATTCCTGATAATGTGGCAGACTTGTTTAATGGCGTAAGTAAGATTCTCATAATTTCAAATGAGTTTTCCTTAAATGATCAATTTTTATTCATAAACAGCCCTTATTCTCAACTGAGCGGTACAGCGTTGACTGGAGGAAAACTCTAGCGGCCGGTTGTTCTGATAAGTAGTTTTCCGTGGTTTCTCCAATCAACTCCAGTCGAATGTCGGAGAAATGCTCTAAGAAAAAGGCCGCAGTTGGGGAAAATACCCTCAAGCCGACGTAGGTCGGCGCCGGATCTCGCCATCTATAGGGGAAGATTTCCGCCACCTCCCACCTCCCGCAATCAAAAATGCTTTCGGGACTAATGACTTTAGATGTTGAGCGCCCGACATCACTAATCAAACGATCAATTGAGCGATCGTCTGAAGACCTCTCATTCACTTATGGCAGGTAGTCCGCTCCCGTAAGTGTGTCCTACTCGTAACCTTCTTTGTCGGTTGTACATGCTTAGAGACGGCAATCACATCTGTTGTGAAAAATTCTATGATTTTGCAGATTGCGTTGATTGCTTTTCGCAACACATCAATTGTACTGCAAAAAGTAAATCGTAAGTACGAAATGGGCAGTGCAAATAAGACGTTGCCGTTTTACAATCACGTAAGAAATAACCCAGGACATAGTAACTGTAACGGACCCTGGTAACGAAAAAGTGGTTAAATTTTGTTTCTGTGTGTAGTAAAGTACTTTCTCGAACACACTGGTTAGTCATAATTCAAGTTGTGTGAGTACTTGACATCAAAATATCGATTGACGACACAGTTTGTCTGCCGTCTGTTCGTCTGTTCATCTCTCCGTCAGTCCGCCTGTCCGTCTGCCCGTCTATCCATCTATCCGTCTGTCCGTCCAACCATCCGACCGTCCGTCCATTCATCCTTCTGCCTGCCTGCCTGTCTGTTCATCTATCCGTCTTTGATGAACCGTTCAAATATTTTCTTCAAAACTGATATTCTCCCAGCAATCTGGTCGAACATAGAACTCTGCGTGTTTGAAAATTATATTTTGATTGCAGGTGTACTTCATATATAGACAAAAATTTTCACAAAATTTTCTGAAAAATGGCTCAACAATTATACAAGACTCGTTTTCGCTGAAATCTCTGGTTTCAAAAATTGCCCAGTTTCAAAATTTGTTTGACGACCTCCTTCAATTACAATATTAATGATACTAGATATTTTTCTTAAATTGAATTTGTTTGAATACGGATATTAAAATAAGGTTTTGTACGATTTTTCAAAAATATTAGTAGTATTCGCGGAATTTGGAGTGAAATGTAGGCAATTTTTAATTATTTCTTTGTAAAAAATGGATCCACCATTTTTTTTAATTTTTCTATCAGACAGAGAAAAGAAGATAGTGTAGTGTTGGTCCCGTTTTCATGAAACTCTAGACAATTTTTGAAAATTGCAAAAAGTAACATAGCAAAAGCACAGTTTTCATGATACATATTTTTTCTGAAATAAAATCTGTTTAAAAAAAATATATTTTTAACAGTGGTGGGCACATTTTTAATGCCCCGTTGAAAAGCACGTTCGCGAATTCATTAAAAATATTCATTTTATACGGCAGGAGGTGTAATAATGACATAATGTCATCGGCCACTATAGAAAAATCAAAGTATAGACGCTCTTGCTCCCGCGCGTTGCCTGTGGTTTCGGTCCACTGTGCGTTGCGTTGCGTTGCGTTGCGTCGCGTCGCGTCGCGTTCGCCCGCCAGAGGGGTCGTCGTCTGCGGCGGCGGCGCCGCGGCTAAGTTACGGCGTTTTCCGCGCGGGTGGGCGCAACCCTCGCGCGCACGCGGGCCCCCCGTCGCAGGCCTGCCAACCGCTTCCGGATGCCTCCGTGCCCGAGAGCACGCCTCCTCGTTGTGAACCGCGCCTCGTTTTGTCAGAAGAAAGGAGTAAGTCGTTCGGGGCGCGCGCCGTCGGTCGGTAATGTGGCGCACCGTCGGGACGGGAGGGGACGAGACGGGGGGGGGGACAGGACGACGAGACGTCGAGACAACAAGACGAAACGGGACGGGGTGGGACGGCATGGGACGGGACGGTGGGTGTGGCGTGTCGCGGTGGGCCTGCCGTAGAGGGCCCCTTATGAATAGCTACGCAATAATTTCCAAGGCTGAAAAATAAAGTTCATAATATAAGTTTTGTTAAAAAGACTGATTTTCTGGAGTTCAGTTCTCTTAACAAATGAAGTGTGTGTTGTCATATACAGCTGTGCACATAGTATAATTTTCATGGAAATCGATGCGCAGTGTGTTCAAATAATATACTTCAGCAAAGCTTCAAGGATCAAGAAAAATATGGCTTAAGTAACAATTAGCCATTGAAACACGTTTAGGATACGTCACAGTTAGACACATTCGGGGAAACACAACATTCTCTGATACACCTGCCCAACCAGCTGGTTTAATGATATCTATGCCTGCAAAATACCTGTAACGTTGCCAGGGCCACTTTCGCTCCTAACGTTTTCCTCCAGCCCCTTTTGCTTTCCGTTTCGCGGACCGCCAGCTCCGCCGCACTGACCTCTCATCGTCATCGTTTCTGTTCTGAGAAAAAGAGCGTTCGCTTTGTTCCCGAGAACAAGCTGAAAGAAGCCGATCCGAGTCCACGAGATCGCTAAGCCAGTTGTGCCATGGCGATCTAGAGCCGACGGATTGCGTGCTCGAGTCTCACCTTGGGCGTGGTTGTATTTGTGTTCGTTCTTTCATCCCCATCATTATACCATATCACTTCATTCAGTATACGGACACCCCTCACAAAAATCAATAGCGCTCGCTAATGACCTCATAGTTAATGCGACCTTAAATTAAAAAAAAATAATAAAAAAAGCTGAAATAAATTGTGCTGAAAATCCGCCAAATGGAACTACGAGGCACATCCAGGACGTGTTTCCCTAGATTTTCAACAAAGAACACAACTTCATGGAAACATTTCATTGCAGCAGTTACAACACTTACACTATTAACCTCTGTCATTTGTAAGCAAATGGAACATCTCAGTAGCTGAGTATTTGCGAAATGAATGGGGCAAATTAGGATGGCTGTATGAGGCAATCATGGGTTTTCGTAAATCATTTTCATGGCGAGAGCAAACTATTTCTACATGTCAAGATATCGCTGAGCACTGGACGGTGGGCAACGGACGGATGCAATCGTAATAGACTTCTCTAAAGGCGTTCGATCTTGTTAACTGAATTTTACTTAAGAAATTGCAGATACCGGTATCGACGTTAGGGTCGTTAAGTGGATTCATGAATTCTTGAGAGAGCGGTCGCAGCAAGTCGAGTTGGACAAGTACTATCTGGGGAGGCAAAAATTACATCTGGAGTTCCTCAGGGAGTGTCTTAGGATCCTTGTTATTTATAGCCTTTATCCAACGATCTACCTACTTCTATTGATTCAGTAATGCGCCTTTTTGCGACGATTGCTTCATTTACCGGATAATAGAATCATATGAAGATGAAAGTGCTTGCAAAGGATCTAATAAAATATACATGGTAAATCAACAAAATGGAAATAAATGTCGACAAAAGTAAGACAATCAGTTTCACAAATCTATACGTAAGAATCCTTTAATTATTCCATGACGGCACATTGATCCCGAGGTAATCAGCTGTAAATACTTAGGAATTAATTTGCGTTGCGAATTAGGATGGGGGGGAACATATAAATTATGTAGTAAGAAAATCTTGGAAGTCGTTTTCTTTTGTAAGAGATTTTAAAGAAGGTAACATGGAAAGTAGAAATTGGCTTACACATCTTAAGTTAGGCCAACTCTTGAATACTCGTCAGACTTGTTGGGATCCTTACAGAATAGGTCAAATACAAGAATTAGAAAAGATCAAAAAAGGGCAGTGAAATTCATAAATAGAGGGTTTGCAAGGGAAAGTGACACACATTTCGAATCATTAAGTATCCGTAGAGAGATGCAAGATTATGTTGTATGTTTAAGAGCGTATAATAAATCTCAGCGTGGGAGGGAATAAGTGGAAGACTAGACAGTCCTGCACGTATAGGAGAAAAGATCATAAATGGAAAATAAAAACTACGGCAGCGAACTGATACGTGAAATATTCATTTGTAAATCGCACAATTAGGGATTGGAACGAAATACTGCAACAGTCATGGAGCCTTTCCAAGGATGTAAAGTGTTTTAAAAATCGCTTAAGAAGTTCAAATAGTATTTTTTTTTATTTTTTATTTTTCTTTTCAAATTATTAGCTATTTTTAGTGAAGTGAAGTACAGTTCAGGGAAATTCAGCGTGATATGCGACATTACCAATTTAAAATAAAATAAAATATAGTGGAGTGTGGGCTGGGCGTTGCAGTGTAGTGCAGCGTAGCAAGACGTAGCAGAAGTGAATAGAGTAAATGAAATAAAATTTAAGATTAGAATTAGATACAATAGAATACGATAGAGTATAATTAGATGGTATTAATTAGCTGTAGTACATTTTTGGAGTGTATATGTATGTGTGTTATATGTGTAGGTGTGTATGTATATGCATATACGCACATGTACGTGTGTATATGAGTATGTATATGTTATATGAGTATATATGAATGTGTGTGTATAAGTATGTATGTATGTGTGTGTGCGTGTGAGTATATACGTATTTGTGCGGGTGCGTGCGTGTTTGGGTGTGGCACAGAGAGTCTGAGTTTACATGTGTACGCGTGAAATGGAGGTTTCTCGCTATGCTGGGGTATACAGTGTTCTAGGTAATACATTATATTTAATTTAATTTGTATAGTGAAATTAATTGCTACACCTGGCAAAGACGCAATTGTGGCCAAATATATTATTATTATTATTATTATATAATAAACGCTGGTATCTATTCAGGCGGCAGTTTTCTACGGCACTGTGATACAAACCTTTATCCGGGTATGACAGATGTCTCGATTCTGGTGTGATTACGTGAACAAATTAGTGCAATAAAATAAAGTTTTTCCATGACGTTTGGATTTCTTTTTGTTGGCAACTAGAGAAATTTGCTTTTTGGATACGACTCATAGCACCGAAAGGAGAAAGTCTTTGAAGACTAAAACATTAATCATCTCGTGTCCGTTTTGCTATAATTAATATTGAAAACCAGACAGAATATTCTTGGCTCAGAAGTTTGAAACGAGGTAAACGCGTTACGTGTCACGGTCGGTGGCAGCACCCTCTCTTCAAACCCTAAACTGGCCTTAACTATTGCTCATAACCTCGATGGCAGTCCGGGTCCATGGCTGCCCTGCCCGGTGGGCATCTGTAAAGCCACGAATGTAACCACTGATTCTGACGCCATGTCGGCTACTTATTCTTTTCAGAATACTGGCCCGTGCTTGATGTTACCGCATCATGAACGACGGGGCGCTAAAATATGAACTAGATATTTTTTATTACCTCTGTGTAAGTGAAAGTTGTTTCGTTTAAACACAAGACTCGGGAAACTTTATAGGATAAAATTGAGCGTCTTGTAATCGCCTTCAAAACAGTTAAAAAAACGGATGACTTTTGTGATTGACGTGCACGGAAACACTACATAATCAATCAATCGTCGGGAAGTTCTCAAATCGATGGACTGCTAAGCGATTCCTTCATATTCTTTTCATTATATGGCTGTTACTTAGCTGCTTCTTACTAATACCATTTAGATTATTGTATATATTGTGTAACCATTCAATTATTCCCTAAAATATTTTAATACCATGAAAACAAATATTTAAATTTTATAAATTTATAATTTTTCAACGCCGCATTTGTCGTTGACTGGGCGTCTCGTTCCTATAACCGATCAACGATCCGCCACTGAGTGCAGTATTTCCCAAAGCTTCGACCGGCTTTGCTGTCCTGAGGCATCAATTGATGTCACTGCAGTTTCTCTGACCGAGAGGTCCTAGGAGTCCCGAGACGATCTTTCCGAGTCGAGATGATGACTTTCAACACAAGTTACATACCTTCGTCGAATTGAGCCGCTACATGGAGGAGAGTCCTAACGGCCGGCTGCTCTGATCGATATTTTTCCATGGTTTCTCCGATCAACACCAGGCGAATGCCGAAGCAGTACCCTAAAAAACGTGTTAACGACCGCAAGTAATATTTCCTTCCCTTCCTTGTCCTTTCCTCATCCCTTACTTATAAACACACACCACACGACCACACAGGTGAGGAGACCATTCGGAAGTTAAGAGCTCTTCGCGGGTGGGGCGGTGCCCCGCTGGTGGGAGATACCTGGTTGGGGAAAATCCTCGCTGGTAGACGTGTATGTCGACGCTGGATCTCGCTATCTAGAAGGTGAAGATCTTCGCCACCTTCTGCGATAAAAACATGGACTACACGTTCGAGACTAATGACCTTGGTCGTTGACGCGCTTGGAAACCAATCAGCCAATCAATTCCAAGCTCCGTTTGAAGCCGCGTGGGGCGCTGTTTGTTGTGTTGCAGACCGTGACGCAGCGGGCACGTATCACGTGCAAGTGCCACGGCGTCTCGGGCTCCTGCACGCTCCGCTCCTGCTGGAAGCAGCTGGCGCCTTTTAAGGAGATCGGTGAGTTACTTTTATTTTTAATTTTCAATCTTTTACGCGAAGAGATAATTCTCGTCTACTTCAAAATTCTTTGGGTTCACTGAACTTACTATTTCCCTGACGCTTCGCGCCCGCAGAAGGCTACATCGAGGGTGCCAATAAACGCGATTCCAACTCCGCGGTGCGGCGTCCCGTCTCCTCCCGCTAGGCCCACACGGCCAGTGTCAGCCGCCTCGATGGCTCCCTCGTCTCCCCGACTTTACAGCCTCCCCTCCCCCTCCCCCTCTGACCGCGCGCTCTGCATCTCCCGGCGCCGAGTCGCGCCCGTCCCGCCCCGCCCCGCCGCCGGTTATAAATGGATTCGGCTACAAAGAACCGCCGCGAGAACCAGGCGTTTTTACCGGCGCTCGTAAGCACGGGGCGCCCACTTCAAAGGTCGCGCCGCCGCCGCCTCCGCCAACGCGGCTGCCGTCGCCGCTGCCAACATGGGCGTCTTCGTCGCAATCGCCTGCCGAAGTTGGGGGTGGTTGTTCTGTGGCGTTACCACAACCTAAGGAGCTTGCCGTCTGAGATCTATGCGATTGGAGATGAGACATCCCAAAAAAACATCGATGTTCGAATGCGTCGATGTCCAAAATTAAAATATCGATATTAACAAAACATATATCCAAAACCATCGATGTCTTGAACATCTTAACATTAATGTTCAAAATTAAAATATCGATGTAAAGAAACCATCGCCCCAAAACCACCATAACTTTTAGTAACCATTAATACTCACGTGGGGTAATTTGACGATGGTTGGCGTTTATTAATTTTTAATTGAGGTTGACTGACAAAATAAAATTTAAAAAATTCCCTTAATTTATTTTACTTCCCCTTCCTTCTCGTTTTCAAAAAAAGAAAAAAAAGAAAACGAAAATAAGTCTAATGAAAACATTCCATGGGAATCCACGCTATCCGTAAGGTTTGATCCCCCAACCTCGGTTAACTCATGACACTCTTCATTCGAGCTCGTTGATTTTCTTCCAAACCTTACAGAATTTTAGGATGTGCTGGTTTAAAAAAATCAAAGACATCCGTTCCAGGCTAGATTCTAAGAAAATGCAAAATTTTTCACAATATGCATTGATTTTAATCTTAAAATAATATAATACAGTAAAATGTGAAATAATGACCCACTTAGTATGCCATCTCGGCTCGTTATTACCCCCCCCCCACCTCCCCATCTATTTCAAGCCTCTTAACTCTTTCATGAACAAAACTTTGTAGCTGTTACAAGCCTATCAGCTTGTAACGATGGGTTTAGCAAAGCATTTTTTCGCGCGTGTGAATGTGACGTGATTGTGCCCGCAGGAGACCTGCTGAAGGACCGCTACGACGGCGCGACGGAGGTGCGGCTGACGGAGCAAGGCCGGCTGGAGACGCGCGACCGCCGCTTCCTCGCGCTCACGCCCAACGCCCTCGTCTACCTGGAGGAGTCGCCCAGCTACTGCGCGCGGAACCTCTCCACCGGCGTGCTGGGTGAGCGCCATCGGCCAGTCTTTGCGCACGCAAGCTTCCGCGGCTCGACTTCATGACTTCGGGATCGACTTCATGACTGTCCGGGTGACGTCGCGCCGTACTGGGAGAGATGGCTCAGAACATCAACTGTCACTGCAGTCCCTCTGACCGGGCGGTCCTAGGTTCGACGGGGGCAGGATTTTCGACACTAGCTTGTTAGCTAGGTCGAATTCAGTCGCTGTTCGTTCGGAGGAGAATTCTAGCGGCTGGCTTCTTTGATCCGTGGCTTTTCGTGGCTTCTCTGACGAACACCAGGCAAATGCCGGATCAGTATTCTAAGAAAAGAGCCACGGACCGCGCGCGATTTCACCTTCCTCTTCCTTGTCCTATCCTAACTCTCTCACACGTACATTTACACTAAAACGCACTACACTATCACACGAAAGACCCGTCAGGAGCTATGAGCTTATCCCGGCTGGGGTGGGACCCCGCTGGTACGAGATACCTGGTCGGGGAAAACCCCGCTAGTGGACGGTAGGTCGGCGCCGAATCTCACCATACAGCGGAGGGAAAGATCATCACCACATCCCGAGCAAAAAAACGTGAATTACACTTACGGGACTAATGTCCCTGGTAGTTGATGGGGACGCAATCAATAAAACAATCAATCAACGCCGCGTCGTTGGTTGAGAGGCCGTCGTTTCACCTGTCATGTCGCAGGTTTCCTCAGGGAAGTAACGAAAAACTGCCCTGAGGAAGCATGCGACATAACAGGTGAAACGTCGGTCTCTCAACCCACGACTCGGCGTCTCACGGACAGCCAAGAAGTCACGATTCAGTGATTGATTATCTCGAGTTTCCGGGCGAGCCAACTGCTTTAGTCATTAGTCTAGTAAGTGTAGTGCATGTTCTTATGACGGCAGGTTGAGTCCCGACGGTGGCAGAATTTTCAGTGCTAGCTTGATCACCTAAGTCAAATTCAGCCACTGTCTGGAGGAGAATTGTAGCGGCTGGCTGCTCTGATCGGTAGTTTTTCGTACTTCAGGCGAATGCCGGAGCAGTATCCTAAAAGCAGGCTACGGGCCACGCGCGATCTTTCCTACCCCATTCTTGTTCCACTCTCATCCCTTACGTTACACACACACACACACACACTTACATGCACTACACTACCACATTTGTCGGGAGACCAGTCTGGAGCATAGAGCATGTCCCGGCTGGGGCGGTGCCCCGCTGATGGGAGATTCTGGTTGGAGAACAACCTATTAGCCGACGGTAGGTCGGTGTACGCATGGGTTGTTCGTGTAGGACGCGTATATATGCGTACGTATACGACGGTATCTCAGCATCCAGTGGGGGAAGATCAACGCCTCACTTCCCGCGTAAAAACATGCTCTACGCTTAAGGGTCTTACGACCTTAGCAGTTGCCTCACCCTGAATCACCAATCAATCAATACATACATCGGTTTGTTTTTGTTAGCTGTGTCTCGGTCGAATGACGTTGTCAAGGCATCCTTCCTTTCTTCGCAGGCACGCAGGGCCGGCAGTGCAACCGCACTTCGCAGGGGCTGGAGGGATGCACGCTGCTGTGCTGCGGCCGCGGCTACAACACCTACAAGGCGACGGTGCGCGAGCGGTGCGAGTGCAAGTTCCACTGGTGCTGCTACGTGGAGTGCAAGGTGTGCACGCGCACCGTCGACGTGCACACGTGCAAGTAGGCCGCAACTGCCCCGCTGCCGCTCCGGCCACTGGGGTACGTGACACGTGCATTTGGCTCTCTCTCTCTATTGCTTCCTGCTTGTTGGCGTCTTTCATTACGCGCTCTGTTTTGTGTTGGATTGCCACCCATCTTCCAGTTGTCTTTCCTCACGTTCTTTCTCGTTCTCTCTCTCTCTCTCTCTCTCTCTCTCTCTCTCTCTCTCTCTCTCTCTCTATCGCGCGCGTCAATTATTAATTAAATTATTGTTATTTTTAATCATAAATATGTGTGCCCAATTTCAGAATATAAATTATAGTTATCATTCTATAAATTTTTTTCTGGATTTTCTGAAAGAAATAGGCGGCAATTTTAGCGTGCCTATAAGCGACAAAGTTGTTAATATGCTTACGACGACCGTTTTTGTTTCCAGGAGCGTTTGGACAACGCGATCAGTTGGAAGGAGCCCTCGTCTCTCTCGTGGGTTGCCCCGGTTACTGCAATGACGAGGCTGCATTGACGACAGAAACAGCAAGAGCTGCACTCGTGATGCTAGCGGCCAGCCATGAACGAACTGCCGATCACAATGTCGCACTTCTAGAATGGCCTACTAAGCCCAGCGTTGATCACCCGACTCGTCGCGTCCTAGAGCAGTATCTTCGTCCAACTGTACAGTGAACCTGTAACCTGACGCCATGTAGTTCCTTACGTTTTGTACGGAACAGTAGTCGTTTTGCGCAAACGTAATCGTGGTAATTTGTTATTTAAAAGGAATCTAATTCAAGATTTTTTTTTTTGTAGACATGGCTCGACTTTGGTACCTCCCTTCCCTTTGGTCTCTCTAGATATTTTGTTTCCCCGCGTTCAGCGCTCTTGAACGAATGTTGAATGAACGATTCGGTACATTCACATTGTTTGTGGAAATCGAATCTATTTAAGGCAAGGGCCGACAAATACAGTATTATGCGAAATACTGTACACCAGCCGTCCGAAATCATCGGGCGGTTCTGGAATAAGAGTGATGAATTGTTCTATCAAGAACATGATTTTGCGATTTGGCCTACTCTTTAAAATTCTCAAAAATATTCACCCTAGACCGTAGTACGCAATTTTGTATTTTAAAAAAATATTATTTTGTGTTTTCTTGAATATTACGTCCATTACACCAACAGTGTAACCAGGTGACAGAGTGATGGCAATTAAATAACATCCACATTTTAAAACTTCGGTGAGAAACAAAAACGTGGATTCATTTTTAACAAAAATGGTATTTGGTCTACGAAGAATTATAATGATAATCCCGAACACAACCCACGTAACACTATCTATTTGCGTCGTTCTAAGAAATTTACTCAGACCCTTAGGGATCATTCAGTAATTAGACAAGACATCCAAACTTAATTGAGTATTCATTAATTCGTGTAATACATGAGATCATAGCTAGCTTCCCAGAAACAGATTTTTCCATTCTAATCAGCCGTCCTGTAACTTATTTACTCCGGAAAGAGCACCATTGTCCCTGGCGAAGTTTGTGTGTGTGTGTGTGTGAGTGTGTGAGAAATGAAAACCTACTAACTTGTCGGAGACACCTATTTTATTTCAAAGAATTTTTATCGAGCTGTGTTTTAAACGAAAGGCATTCTGAATTTTCAACAGTGAAACAGATAAAATGCGGAAAGAACTTACGACTATTCTGTCGCTGTTGAAAGTGATGAAAATACTGCATTTTTGGAACTGTATAAATGTTACCGAGAAAACGAGTTAACTGTGTATTATATTATTGAGAGAAGTCCTGTGACTTGAAGTTTTGTAAAATGAATGTGACTTAAATTATTTCTCCATTGTCACAAAATTCGTATTTCTTGAACATGAAATGATACCTATGAACGAAAAGAAGATTCTTTATAATAGTCATAGGTTCCATTGAGACCTAATAAATCATAATGTAGTGTGAGAATACATTCTTGTCTGAGAATTTGATTTTTATGGATAGAAATCAAAAATGTTTTATATGTCGTCAGATTAGTGTCCTTTTGTGCTAATGAATAATTCAGTATTAATCATTAGTTAGATCAGAGTTTATTAGAAAACACTTGATGTTTTACAGAAATGTTGCTGGTGTTTACTTATTTAATAATATGTCTTTCTATACCCATATAATTTTATTCGGACGCTTTAGATGTTTTCTAAATTCGAGTGATTAAGTAGAAATGTTTCTACGTTGTCCCTATATCAGTCTCTCAAGTTAAAGCCAAAAGTGACCTCCACACGTATTAGCGTATTATTGACTTAAACATCATTATAAGAAATTTTGAGATAAATGAAATAAGACAGTACATTTCTTGATTTAATGAAAATGATTAATTTTTGATGAATTGTTTAATAGTATAGAATTTCAAATTAATGTATTATTATTTACTAATTTGATTGAACCTTACAAATGTCGAGTGTTACGAAAACCGGTCAATGCCTCTGAAATGTTGACCCCTCAACATAATAATAATTTCAGTTTCTTCGATGAAATTATTAGAAATATGATATTAATTATCATTCCCTGTAATTGAATAACTACTTCAATAACTGGATGCGATTTTTTGTTAAACTAATCAAAAACAAAAAAAACAGCAATATCTCAAGAAAGAAATAATTGTAAAGAATTTGTAAGCAATGGATTTTTTTCAGGGTAAAATTTGTTCATTGCATCTTTGACATGAATTTCGTGTATGTTTTATGAAATATTCTCAGATTTTATGTAAATTGAAATAAACAGAGTACTGCCTATTCCTGACTATTTCCTTCATCCATTGAAAACGAATTCATATCATTTAATCTTGAAAGTTAAATTTCTTTCTTCTTGAATAAAGGTAAATTTTGTTTAAATGTACATAAGATCAACACAAATGTTTTACAAAGTTCATTATCTTTATATTATATGAATAAGTACTAGGAAAAGTCATTACGTATGTACTCTTTTGTTCTAATCATCTGCATGTTGATTTGTAACTTGATAAGCTCCGTCAACTTACCAGCCTTAAGATGCCATTGTCCACATTGCTTATAATAATTTTCAGTTTTATCACCTAATTTTCGCTTGAGAAGTTGTGACGTAAAGATGGCTGCACCACTCTAATTTTGCACCAGAATAGGACAGGTCTTCAAAAACAGTTTTCTGAGATTTGAATGAGAACTGAAACTAAATTCTGATGTGAAACTGATTTCTAAATGTGTACCAGAAGTAGAAATCCTTAGAAGACTCAGACAGCACAAAGCGGAAGCAATGTTTTTTCTTGGTGTAGAATTCACCAGTGGAATTAACAATTCAAAAGCACTCGAACAAACGTGCAAGAAAAGTGCTCGATGTCCATCCTCAACCCCAATATTTGTGCATGTTCCTGCCCTCATTCTGAATAACCGGTAAGTGACTCTTGATGCATATGAGAAAGCCGAGATGGATAATCGAAAGACATTATTTTGTTGTAAGAAAACGCGCATCGGCATACCGCCGCCCAAGTTCTTCAAAATCTGCATTTCGATATGTCTGATCATCTCGATTACAGTTTCGACTTTCTCATGTCTAATTACTAGACTTGGTGGATTGTTTTAGTAATTCCGGGCACGTCAATGAATAGGGTCAATAGTCCCGTAAGTGTTCCCCAGATGCAAGTCCCGTAATTCTCCTCCAGATACCGACTGAATTCGTCCTAGCTGACAAGCCAGTGTCGAAAATCCTGCCACCATCGGGACTCGAATCTAGGATCTCCGGGTCAGAGGGACTGCAGTAAAATCAATTGGTGCCCTGAGGTATCTCTCCCAGTCTAGTGACCGGAAAAATATGTACTGTGAAAGGTCAAAATATGTGCTTAGTATGTAATGAAAACAGTGAGAATAAGTAACAAATATGTAAAATCGGATTTAATATGTAATATTAAAATACTCGATTTATAAAACACATTTAAATAATACAAAATTACATTTATAACAAATTTTCTAAACAAATTTTAAAAATAATACAAAAGTCTGAAAAGTCATTCGGATAGCACAAGTTGATGCACACTTTGCACCATACAACTTTCCCGTCGGTAGTAAAAACTTCATCTATTGTTATCTAGGATCGTAGTTTAGCAGCCCAACCCAGGTGCATATATGTAAGGTTATATGCACCTTGAGCCAGACTAGACACAATAGAAGCCATCGTGCACTCTGACGATATCGACGACCAGCGACCAGAATCACTGCAGCGTGCAACATTCTCATCGCAGTGTTACACGTCGGCGATCGCCAAAGTTCATTGGAAATGAAGGATAAAGGTCACGAAACGCTGCATCAGTGTTACTTATCACACTTAGATTTCACCAATAATGTAATGTAATTTCACGAATAATGATGATTTTTTAAAATACTTCTTTTCATAAAAACTAAGTAATAAAATTGAAGAAAATCGATAGAATAAAAATATTTTTTGAAAATAGCAAAATGTGTTAAATATGTAATATAGTACTAAATATGTAAAAATATGCAATGAAAAAATAGGATGTTGTGTTAGGAGAGCGACTATTCGCCACGATTTCAATTTTGAGAACGGTAAGTAGAAAGACAAAAACATTTAATTACATAAAAATTCAGTCTACTAATTACCACCTCTGGTCCACTTAAAAATGCTTTAAGAAAATGAAGATTTGCCTCCGATCTACAGGTGAGGAAGCAGTGCATACATGGTTTGTAGCTCCACGTAAAATCCTTTTCTTGAGAGATTCGGAAAGCTAGTTCTCTAATGGAGCAAGTACTACTTTGAAAAGTATGTTACCTATGAAATATTGTTGAAATGTCGAAAATGACCTTTTTAAAATTTTCTGTTGTAATGAATTTTCAACAATTAATGCAGATACGTATTGCCTTATCCTCGTATATACAGGAACAGTGAAAAAACTATGATTCAACAACTTGAGAATGTTCGAAAGTTGGCCGAAAAGTTACTTGTCTAACAAAAGAAGAATGAAAGAAATTTCATAACATCAAGTTATTTTTCAATATAATATCATTTTTCATTAATAACACATTTAGGTACGATTATACAACTTTCTCAAACCACTCAAATAAAATAATTTTATTTTCGATTTCAAACAGACACCATCTCTGTCCAATCACCGCCCCTTTAGGTCCTTTTTTTAAGGTTTGGAAGAAGAAAGACTGATGCAGCCCGTTCAAGATAATATGGCAGATGTAACAATTCGACCCCCCCCCCATTTCGCAAAGAATTCCGTGATGCCAAAACATCGGGAAGCTATTCTGCATCGTATTCGACTTCAGCCAATGAGCTTTAGGAATCAGTTTGCGTCACAATATTTGCCGGAATGTTAAATGCAACCAGATACCAAAATGTTCACACTGTTACAAGACATTCAAACAGATACATGAAACATATTGCATATTTTATTTCAATTATACCTTCGTTTTATTTTTGATTGATCAACGTTGAAAATTGTCACTTTGTGCCACTGTCAAGGTGTTTCTCTTCTCGCTCTCCATGTAATTTAGTGGCCAGCGCTCGGCGGATTTATCATTTTCGAAGCCCCAAGCTAAAACAAATTTTAAGGTCCCCCTTTTTACTGTCAACAATAATATATTTGAGATTGGAGATTTTGACATTTTTATTCAAAATTAATTAAACGATGCCTTCAAATAACAACTTATTATTTAATTTTAAAAATTGATAAGAATCGTCTACATATAATATACAATTATACTAACTTCAAATTGTATATTTTTATAAATTTTTACAAATTTGCCCTTATGTGTACTAATTTTTCAGGCCCCTTGGATTCTGAAGCTCTAGCTTATTTAGCTAAACACTGTGAGCGTCTGGGCTGGTTTTTCAAATCAAGTACCGGTGTTGTGTTCACATGATTCGTGACATAAACTGGAGATGCGTAGAATGAGTAAACTTCGGTGGGATTTCAACGAATGTGAGACCTGCACCATTCTCTTAAGAGTTCTGAATGCTATCCAAGGTCAAAATTTAACCAAAAAATTTGGTGCAGTTTTTGAGGAAAAAATGATTAAATAAAATTAAAAATTGCTCATATTTTTACACAAACTTATGTGAAAAGTTCTCAATTTTCGAAAAATTATACATGATCTTATTTCAAAATCTGTCTTTAAGGAATTTTTTTTTCTAAGAAAAAAAAACTATCTTTAATATTTTGGTTGTAGGAATACGCCAAAAACATTTTGAACTTGTGCAATTTTTGAAAAATCAGGGATATCAATGACAAACAGACCCGCACCATTCTCTTAAAAGCCCTTTACACTATGTAACAACAAAATTTAATCAAAAACTTTCGTACCACTTTTTTGAAAATGTTCCAGAGGCTTCAAGTAGAGTACCCGCCCTTCAAATTAAAATGTCGGGTTTTAATTCAAAGAGACGTGTCATCAGCCAGATCAATTGAGTAACTCATTTTTGGAGAAAATCGACTGAACAGTTTAGCCGCTAGCATTGTTCACAGGCAGGTGGACAGACGGACGAACAAACGTTTGCCGTCAATCGATTTTTCGGTATCAAGGACCCACAAAACAGATGTTGGCTACACCACCTATTAGAGAAATTATTTTTTTATATTTAGAACTCTATGAACTTTTTTGTTACCAAGGTCCGCTAATTGTGTCGAAAATTCGCCGTTTTTACTTTTTCGCACTTCCTAACGTAGAAAGAGAATATATTATAATCGTGCGCCGGAAAACGGCGAATTTTCAACAAATAAACTCTTATTTCCGGGACTCTGGTATCGAAATAGTAGCAAAATCCAGTTGCTAAGTATAGAAAAAAAATTCCTTTAACACGTGGTGCTGCCAGAATCCATTTTGTATGCGTCCTTGATACCTAAAAATCGATTGACGGCAAAACGTCTGTCTGTCCGTCCGCCTTCTGGGCACAATGCTAGCCATAAACCGTCCAGCCAATTTTCTCCAAAATTGATATTTCTCAGTCGTTTTGGCTGATGTTGCGGCCGAAATGTTGACTGATGTTGCGGCCTGGAATTTAAAACCGATATTTTAATTTTCGAGGGTACTTTACTTGAATCCCCTCGGACATTTTCAAAATTTTCAAAGGAATAGCTTCAAATTTTGTTGTTGAAATATGCGAAGGACGTTTAAGAGAACGTGCAGGTCTCATTTTCGTTGAATTCCCTGTTTAACCAAAAATTGCAACAACAAAAAATGAAATTACAAAATTAAAGTTAGAAAGTTTTGCCTCAGACAAAGTCTGTTGTGCACAATTATCTCAGTTTAACAGTGCAACAGACAAAGTCTGTTGTATAAAAATAGCTCTTTAAGAAATGTCATGTACCATATTTTTAAACGAGTAGTTTCTACTCAATTTTCGCTCGAAAGATCCGACTTTTTACTCTAAAACTGCTCCAATTTTTTGCTTTAAATTTTCAAAATCTCGAACATTTTCAAGTTTCTCGAAAAATCAAAAGTTTTGAAAGGTGAAAATGAGCTTCAAAATGCGCATTTCTAGAAAAAGCTCAAATGATATTTTCTCAAAAATAGCTCGAAAATTATTCAATGAAAATTTCCGTACAGGACGAGGTTTTTCTCCTATAATATTCTTATAGTCGTCTCAGTTCGTCGGGTAGAGAACCGAAAAAATTGAGAAAACGTGAAAAAATGTAGTTTGGGCGGCGATATATGGTAGCTGGGAAGAGAGAGAGAGGCTAATCAGAAAAGCTAGCCCAAACCCCAAAAAATTGAAAAGTAACTAGTATGAGAACGTCTGTGCCATTTGTAGCAGTTCTATTTTTCCCTTCATTCGTTTTGTATCAATGAATAAGTTCTGTAGGGAAAATGTTGATTTTTTCTCTTCTTACAAGCATATGAACGGGGTGGTGGTGGTGTTTGAACGATGAACTACAAAAACAAGTGAAACACGTTCAGCGAAAGACACTTCAGGGAATGCGCGCGCGCGCGGGAGCTCGAGATCTTTGTGACGTGACTGAACGTGTCTGCCGACCCGACGATTGGGACTGGCATACTGAGAGGACACGGTTTTAAATCGTGCAAGTGATGTTAGTGTGTGTTGTGAATGAATTCACGTAATGTGAAACAGATTTTTTCGCTGACATTTTAAAAATCTGTGTTTTCTTTTTTATTAATGAGCTACCAGTTATTCCCGTGATTCGAAAGCAGTGTTCTTGTCGAAATGGCGCAACTTAATAAAATGATAATTCAGGGTATTCGGAGCTTTGGCCCTGATGACACTGATAAACAATTGGTAACATTTTATTCACCATTAACTCTGATTCTTGGGCAAAATGGATGTGGAAAAACAACGATTATAGAGGCACTGAAGTACGCAATAACTGGTGAACTGCCACCGGGTGGCAAACTAGGACACTCATTTGTATACGATCCAAAGTTAGCAAGACAAACTGAGGTAATTTCGATGTCTGCATCTTTTTAACATTATTTCGCGATCTTTACGAAAGTGACCCGCTTCCAACGCCCTCGTATTCTATGGCTATCTTTTATGTATAAATAGAACAATTACTGTCGAAGGTGAAAAGATTGGTAAGGTGTAGTGTTAGACACAATACTTACATGTATACACACATGTACTTATTGTTATTTAAGAATAGATTCCCTATCACCATTAAATATATATTTTAAAATATACATGGTAAATATTATGCCAAGTTATCGTGATATACTTTTACAGGTGTTGGGTAAAGTACAATTGAAATTGACAGATGTGAAAGGAAAGGAGTTAGTGGTAACTAGATGTGTCCAAGTTACTCAGAAAAAAACAACAATGCAGTTTAAAACTGTTGATACTTCTGTATCACGAAAAGGACCAGATGGTTTGGTAAGTCTGACAGTAATTAAATGGTAGCATGTGAAATTGCAATATACTGGCAGTGTATTGTATTAGTGAAGTATGTGCACATTACATAAGAAAGAATTTCAGTAATTCGTTTTATTCCTATGTTCTTTTAAGGTAGTGTATAAAAATCAAACCTTTTTATGTACAATTTTCTATTATCTTATGTCCCAAATAATACATTCAGTGTGTTGTGTTTTTGTATTACTATCTACTTCAATAAAGTTCTTAAAATTGTGTAATATGAATTTCATTTTTTTTTCTTTTTTTTTTTCAGCCTGTGCAAAGTAGTGGTCGATGCATTGATGTAGATATAGAAATGGCTACGTCAATGGGAGTGTCAAAATCTGTTATTAATAATGTAATTTTGTGTCATCAGGAGGAATCTCTTTGGTACATTTTATGCTTTGCATGTTTACCTTTTTCTTACTTGATTTTCAAATGTCAGTTAATGTTCTTTTTAATGAATATCTTTCATTTTGTTAATCATAGGCCTTTGGATGAAGCAAAGAAATTGAAAGAGAGATTTGATGCCATATTTGATACAGTTCGATACAATAAATGCCTTATACAAATACACGATTTGAGAAAGACTCTGAAAAACGGTAAGATAATGTTTATATCCATGTGTTTTCTGATGTTAAATTTAAGAATTTTTTATTAGTGATGTGAAACAATTATGGAAAGTCGGATTTGTATATTTTTTTCTGAAAATGTATCAGATTCTAGTGTTGTGAGTCTCTAACAAGAGGAGGCATAAGAAACAAGGTTGAAAGAATAGAATGAATGCGAAGGATATTTTGAGTTTGGTTTCTGGGAAAATAAAAAACAAGGACATGAAAGTGCAGAAATTATGTAGGGAAAATGGGGAAACATGTCCTAGGTGTATTACATTCCCAATTCTTCTGTAATCTCTTGGCCTGTGGACCTGTCAGGAAACTGTGAGATGTGTGTGCAATCTGTGGGTATAATTTAAGAAATCGCTCTGAACAATGGTACAGGCACCAATAGAGGGCCAGATGTTATAGGTAAACAAAAATATAGAACTGTGCTCATGCTGAGATAGGCCTATGCAATGCTCAGGCAACACAAGAGTGGCTACTTGGCTGTGTGGTAGATGCAGCATCCTAGGCACAAGTCCCAACATTTCAGCCGCCATTCTGTGACCTTCCTCCCAAAATATCCAGAGGTGTCCGAATAGATGTGGAGGACACAGCGTTTCCCAAACAGCTAAGTACCTACTGACTATGGCCGTGGAAGCCTAAAGCTCTCGTTTAGCACAAGGGTGCTCTTCACTAGGAATGTCCCCAGGGAAGTGAGATATTGCGAGAGGCCCTGGTAGGTCTGTTAAGTGCTAATTGATGGCAGCTGTAAGTGGTGGGCCAAAACTGCAAAAATACAAAGACAAGTGAATATAAAATCAACATATACAAGAAAGTATGAGCTGTTGTGGAGCACAATGAGATTGTTTCTGTTGGGGAAATATTTCTTAATTACTTTTTATGCTATTCTACAGAAATGGTGGTTTTGAAAAGTTCATTGGGTCACCTTCTGGACAAGAAACAAGCTGCTTCTCGCATGAAAGAATCCATCAGGGATACAGAGAGAAGTATCAATGTGGCTCAAGATCAAGTAGACAAATGCCAGAGTCGATGTGGTCCTATTGATACGCGTTTGCAAGAAATAATTGAACAAGAAAGTGATATTATTCAACATTACAGTCAAGTGGGTAAGTGGTTTTCACTCAACTTATTTTTTTTTCTTTGAACTCGTTGACTACTCTCGCTTGTCCAATAAGGTTTGGTAGTTCTTGAATAATCAATAGATCTCAGTAAAACGTAATTATATGAAGGTTATTGCTTTGAAACTACCTTCTGTGAAATTATGTACTCTGGTTTTATTTTGATGAATATTTCTCTGAAGTAAGATACCTAATTACAGTTGACGCCAGTCATAATGAACTTCTGGGGACTAACATTTTTGGCTCCTGTATCTGATGATGCCGAAATTAGTTTCTTGACATGGATTGATTTTATTAATATGGAGATAAAGCAAAATTCATGAACAACACAATCTGAAATTTTCAATACCTTTTTTGACCTTAGAAAATAAATTATTTTCAATTGTTTGCTTTGTACATTTTTCATTAGTAATTTCTCTTGATCCTTCTCCAGAGTTCATACTCTCTCCATACTTGATTCGCATTGTCCACCTGACAAAGGAATGTAACGCCCATCAATGCCTCTTGCCCCGTTGGAATACCGCCCCTCTCTCCGAAGGCCCATTTACTCGCCTAATAACATATGAGATCCTTTCTGGAGCAGCAAGGTGCAAGCGACTAGTGAAACTGATCCCTTTTCCATGCAGCACAGCATGTGTCGCCAGGGTGTGGGGTTGTGTCCGTCACATTCTTCCTGTCTACACTTACATACAACACCACATGCTTTGTCCTGTGGAATTTCAAGGAACATCAAGCTTTATACTGAAGCAAACAATCAATCGCGCATCATTGCTGCCAGTTGTAGCTCACATAGGACACAGACTTTGTTTCTGCAGTAACACTAAGTGGTACAAGATCAATGTTATTTTTTCCGAACTGTTTTTTCCAGGAGGGAATTAATTTCCAGGAAGTTGTATCTCCTACTTCCCCTGTAGCCGAGGTTCAGAGTTCACGATAACTGACTCTTTTTGTGCTTATTTGTCATGTAAGTGAGACAGGACCGGTGACTTAAGTTTACTAAAACTGAACGTTCACTATAACAGAGCCAACTGTACCTTGTAACCTTTTCCCCATTCTATAAATACAAAACTAAAACCTCTTGGTATTTCTTTTGAACGGGTAGATGACCCATCTGCCTTCATAATAAACCTACATTATCCTGTTGCACCTGTGTATTACTTCCTTAATTCCTTGTTGGAAGTAACCTGTAACTTTGATATATCTTTCTTTCTATGAATGAAGATTAATTGAACAATAGTGTGCATTGACATTAGAACTTAAAAAGGTATTTTTTAATCTCTCTGACACCTTTCTTAATTTACATAGTATATACATTTTCCTTACTTCCTAAATTTGTATTGGCATACAAGTTCTTGTAAGTTTAACTGATTTTATTATTACCTGAATTCTTATACCTCTTTATCCATTGAACTCCTAGCACATTCTTTAATTCATGTAACATTTAAGCACCATCTCCAAATCTCTGCTTACCCACAGCCATATCATTGTTTTTCCTAACTATGTTTAAAAAATTCCCTTTTAACCACTCTGTGATTCTTACTAATTCATTGTTTATACAATTGACAACTTTTTCACTAACCATTCATGTACAATAAATCTTGTCATCAGCAAACTTATGAACTTACATACAATTATACAATTTATACAATTTGATTCATTGGGAAGACAATGTACATAGCAAATGAACTATAATTAACTAGCTTGAGGCACTTCACTCTTAACAGACATACAATCCAAACTTTTTTTTCTCCTATTTAAAAATATTGATATCCAGGATTCTTTATGTAATTTTGTTTTAAATGGTGAAGGTATGTGTTAATTTATTGTTTATCATGTATAACAGAAAAATTGCAAACACAAATAAAAAACCTTCGTCAGCAACAAGAAGAATTGAAAAAAAATATTCCCAAGCGATTCGAAGGAACAATTGAAGACCTCAAAGATGCAATCGCTAATTTTCATACCCAACTTCGTGAAAAAGAAGAAGAACAAAGAGACGTGAGTATAAGATTTCCCTGTTGCTTTATTTCTGATTCCTGTATGCAGTAGTAGTTTTCTTGGAAGGTGTATCGCATATCTTCTTCCAATTTTCATAACTTTGCACAATATACTGTAGTAGATTAAAATATTTATTTATCAGATTATTGTAATTTGTTTTATTATATCATATTTCTCTGTATATCTCGTGTTTTTGATGCAAAATATGAGATTGTTGAAATTCCTTTCCTTGTACATTCTTTTGGGGGAAGGGAAAAGAAAGAGCAAACATAGCTGGTGGTGAGCCTCTTAATTTTTTTTTTCTCTTTTTTTTCTCTTTTTTTTTTTCTCTCTCTCCTTAGAAATGGTACTCATTTCAGCCACAAAACAACCGCACATGAAATTGTGAAAGTCCTAGATAAAGGAGGGTTGGATTTTTTTATTATTATTTATGTTGGAAATAGTAATAGCCCTGTGAAATTCTGAGTTGCTTAACTTTGAAAAAGATGAAAGACTAATGCTAGTCTCAATATTTAATCCACCATTACTCATGCAGATTTTTATTACGTGATTACTTGCGTGTTAGATTTATATAACATCCATTTGGGTTGAATTTATGGTTTTATTATGAATCATATTCATGCATTAATATTCCGAAATATTTGTTATCGAGTACTAAAACTTGTGTAGATTGAATAATGCATCAAGATGACATGCAGGTGCATAATTTTTGTTTATAATAAGCACTCGAATCAAAGTCACAGTTATGAAGTGAAGTATTACATAAACCAAATTTATTTAAGAAAGGCAAATCATAGAATACAATGAATGCAACAAACAATATCATTGAACCACATTGAAATGTATAGGGACATTTATGAACTAAAATAAAGTTCCTCAGAACTACATTTATTGCAAACAGTCTTTCTGGTGTGTTCTTTATGAAGGGGTATGGAGCAAATATTACAACCATGCTGCCTGTATCTGATTGGCCTCTTTGGACAATAAGCAAATCTTCTTTTCTCTTTTGGTTGCTGCCTGACAACTTTTTACTCTAAAAAGAAAAGAAAACTACGTAACAGAAAATAGAGCAAAGGATTTGCTAAATCTATGAAACCTTTGATATCAGATATAAAATACACGATCAAGAGGAGACACTAAGCTTTTCTGATCTTCACGCAAGGTCTCAAGACACAACTGAGTAAATAACGGGGAAAAGAGTGGTTGCAATAATCGGATCGAAATATAATTGATTGATGTACAATTGCTCACGAATGAGAAAATATCTTACATGACATGCCGCAATAACCAGCTTCTTGTTATATTGATACCATTCGCAAAAAAGATAAGAATTGAAGCAGAGTTGAATCCTGAGAGAAGGCATTGCTCGAACGTTATCTTTGTGTGTTGAAAAATTGTCATTGCTATTTAAATAAATCCAGAATTGTTAGATTTTTTTTCTAACAGCGTGGGTAACAACAGGTTAAAGAATTGTTTACTGTCTTAACATTTTTTCTTTAGAAAATTATTAATTTTTAGGATTGGTATTTCTAATATGCTTATTGACAAAAGAAAATTCAAAGACAATTGTTAACCTATACTACATTGAAAGTAAAGCATTTCAAACATTTACATCCAATCTTTTTTGTGCTTGTTGTTGTCTTTCCCTGAAAATTGTAGTTTTCTAGATCAGATGTATTGATGTTTTTTTGTTGATCATGGAGATCACATGGCCTGCTGAATATGATATTGAAGTCATGTAAAGTCAAAATGAAACCAACAGTATTTGGGTTGGGGTGCATTTATTTACAGTAGACCTTGGTAATCCAAACTAATTGGGGGTGTGGTCTGTTCGGATTATTCGGAAAAATGTATCGTACCTATACAAATACATCTATAGGATTACGAGACAGTGCAATGTAGTGTGCGATATGAGAAAACAGCAGCAGCATCAAGCAGATTCAGTTCTTTATGGTAAAAGATTACCGATGCAAAATGCAGATTTGCACCAGTGAGGCAGTGAATGAAGAGTCCTTACAACTTCGTCAATCAGCAAATTATGTGACGAAATCTTGGCAGTGATTTTTATTTATTTACACATTTTGTTACACCTGATATGACATTCATTTGAGATTCTCTGTTTACCACATCATTCAAAAATATCATTCTGAATTGCCTGGTAAATTTGCTGTCATTTGAGAATATGACCGCATATACAATTAGGTATTATAGATACACGGGATAGTTTTATAGTCTTGAAAGCATATTGTTACATCAACATTTATGAGTCCTGTGACATGGAAAGGCAATGTAAAAATATAAGTCATAACAAAATAGGAGTAATCTCCAAATATAAGAAGACCCCCATATTTTTTAATGAGATTTATTTATTTCATTCTATAGGGACATTACCTGTCCAAATATACAAGAAGAAAAATACAAATATGTATCAAAATAAATACAAAAAGAAAATACAGTTGATAAGTGATTCAATCTAATAAAATTAGGGCAAACATATTATTTATAGTATACATAAAATGCCCAACCTTTTATCAATTGAAATAAAGTTGTTACAAAAACAACTTTCTTCAGTAATCAGCACTGTTTCTTAAAAAAATCAGTAATTAATTTTTTATTATAAATTCTTTAGTAACTTATATTTTTTCCTTTCAATTTTTTAGGCAGCAAAACTCACTCTTTGACTATTTTTAGCTTCATTGAGCACTAAGAAACTTGAATATGTATTAGCTTTTACTGCTATTATTATAAGAATAACTTTTAAAATTTTGTTTTAATTACTTGAGCTTCTTTTTTTACAGCTTATTAATCGCATTGATACAACCAAAAATGAAGAAAAAAAGCTAACTGATGAACTTAGTTTGAAAGTAAAGAGAATTGGACAATTAGAATCATTTCAACAAAATAATAAAAGAGAGGTTAAAAGTCGTAATACTTTCCTTGAGAAGCTGCGTAAGGATTTGGATTTAGAAGGTTGGTATCTATATGATATTGTAATTTGACATTCAGTGTTAACTTATTTTGTCTCTCACATCCAATGGAAAGTTATTCTAAAACTTCTAGATAGCATTTGTAATTCTCAATTTAGATACAAGTTATGTAACTTTTTGCTTAAGGTTCAATGAGAGGTTAAAAAAATTTTGTGATTTCAAGAAGTTTAATTAAACTAATAATTATATACTAAAAATATTTCCTCATGCAGTCTTTTTTGCAACAAGTATATAATATGTTACAGTGTCATAATCCATTCCTGATTTTACCTTAAATATGTCAATAATTAAAAATGTCAGTAATTTTATTTTAATGTTTGTTCATAATTAGTTCCCTCATTATAATGGTGTGTAATGTATGGTATGTATTGTAAATGTAACTACAGGAGCTGTAGTTTCATCTGAAGAGAGGAATGTGAGAGCACTAACAGAGAAAGTACACCAGAAAATTCGTGAGAAAAAAGAAGAGGTGATACAGCTGCGTAATGATCTTGACGAAGATGAAAAACGCCACCAGAGTCGATTGGATTCTCTTAGGTATTTTTATTTCTCTTTCATTTGATTGGTAGATTTGGAGAAGCTACTGTTTGAATTTTGAAGCTTAGGAGAAACCAATTTGAAAAAAGATGCCTGCTTAAGAATGTTTCATGTTTAAGGAGTGTGATTTTGGAAGTCTAAGAAATTATACATATTCTATAACAGTAAATTATATTAAACCTTGCTTTACTTTCAGTCTCTTACTTATGCTGTAATATTGTATTGCAGTGCTTCGGAAATAACTTTTCATACTTTCGAAATAACTTGGTGCAGCTTTTTTTGAGCATCCAATAGAAATTTATTTTCTTGTCGCCTCTTCTCTCATGCTTCATTTTGTTTCAGAGACACAAAAGTTAAAAAGGAGCAGGAAGTTAAAATGAAAGAGCAGCAAATTCAAAGCAAGGTATCCAGCAAAGAAAAAATTCAGTCAGACATTAAAGAGGTAAAATATTGTTATTTGATTTTACCATATTTACCTGATTATAAAACAACTCTGCATACGAGACACACACACCTCCCGTTTTGGTTAGCCTCTTGAAATTTTCTTTTTGAAGTAATAATGGCTGCTATTTTGTCATAATAAAATTGCATATTATCTTATTGACTGTAAAGTTATTGATCAGAAAGCATAACTCTTTGTACATGCCATCTTTCTTTGTTTCATCTTCTGTTGTTGTTGTTGTTTTTCTCTCTCTCTTTTTCCCCCCCTCTTTTTCCTCTCCTCTTTCTTCTTTTTCTCCTTCTACTTTTCTTTTCTTTTCTTTCTTATATAGAATTATTGTTTTTCTACTATCTTCGTTTTCACTTCTATCATTATTTCTTGCCTCTAGGTCTTTCTCCCAAACTAGGTTGTTGAAATTGAAGTCGCAACAACTGACATATAAATTAGAAAATAATGCAGTAATCAATACCAGTGTTCTTACCCGTAGTTTTTCTTTCTTTTTTCGTACCTTATTCCTAAATCATAATACATACATCATTTCTTATTTCTAACTAGATTTAAAAGTATTATTAAAAGTTTCGAAATCAGAATACTTTATTAAATTTCCCTTATTTTAAATTCAAACAAAGGTTCTTTCCATGCTATTATTACCATATTGTCCCGAATATAAGACTACGTTTTTTCTAAATATCTGGTCGAAAAAATTCGGGGTTGTTTTATATTCGCAGATTATGTTAAAGTTAAGGTTTTATGTTGCTGCTCTGCCAAGAAACTTGTAAATGACATAACAATTAACTGCGAAGACAATAGAAATATCGCGCATATCTACAATACGTAAAATATATTCAGGGCCGTACTCTCAGCACTGACCATGAATTTGTTGGGTAATTCAGACCAATATTTTTTATTGGGCTGGTAAAGAATGAATCTCAAATAAATGGCATTGCATCAAATGAAATGTAACATGAAAATTAATGTCAAGATTGTGTTACAATGCATGTTCAATGAAGTCACATGGAATCGTGGTACGACATCCGGTAAGTCTGAATCTGCTTTTTGAACTGGTAAAGAGATGTCATCAGCAAGTGCAGGACAGATAGAAAATCTGGTGACACAAAAGAGAATGATGTTCTTAGGTGGCGTCTGAGGAAGGATTTAAAACAATGCAAATTCAATGCGCAAAACTTTTAAAGGGGCCTAAGAAGTGTAATGTCACAGCATGGAAGGAGGATCAAAAAGTAAGAAACAGTGATATATGTGAAGATGAGGAGGGTAGTGAAAAAAACCGTGGTTATAATGATTTTAAAGAACAAGAAAATAATATTTCAACAGTAAGTCTTATTATTCTCATCAACAAGGTAATTTTCAAGACAATAAGGCAATTTGGAATTTTATTTTGACTAAATAGTAAAAATTAATTCAAAATTTTAAAAATTCTCAGGAGGCCTCTTGAAAATTAGGGGGTCATCTTATATTCAGAGTCAACTTGTATTCGGGTAAATACAGTATTCCTTCGGGAGTAAATTTTCTTCCATGTATGTTGGGAGTTCATGGTTCTTTTGTTACTGTGAGATTCACGTTTTTTAATGTCTGAAGTAATGTTGAACTGATGATCTGAAATAACTACAACCTCGTAGATCATCTTACTGTCCAAAAGTTCCAGCCATTTTTACATTGCGTTTCACTTACTACTGTGCCATTTGTTTGATATTACTTTACTGGACTTAAAAAAATATTGATCTGAATAGCCTGGCTTATCTGTGGTGAATACAAAGAAATAACTAGCAATTATAGTTAGGTATTACAGATAACTGTGGCTTATTACTACATTATCAATTCGGTTCATTGACAGAGGAAACTAGGTAAAATATTTGATTCCAACTTAATCCATGTAAGTAAGATGCATATGCATAAGAAAAATTTTAGAGAATATATTTTCTTATATTTGGGTAGATATGGTAATATGGTAAATACAAGATAAAATACAATTTGCTCCGAGTTTTTAATGATTCTCTGAAATCCAAAGGTGGAAAGGGCAGCAAGTCGCCTTGCTCAAGTGGAAAAGGAGTTGTCAGAAGTGAAAGCAAATTTGGATCAAGTCTCTGGGGAAATGAATGTTGAAGATATGAAGAATGATATTAAGAGATTTGAAGATGATGAGCACAGGCAAGTTTTCAATGAACAGATACCATTGTATTGGTAGTTTTTATTTAAATTTTCTTTATAAAGAAAGAAGTTCCATTAAAATAGATGACAGGGATATATGGGTGAAGTAAACCTTCAAATAGAATTTGTGTGCAGCAAAGTATTATGTACTGAAATTACGATGTATGGTATTTGTGTGAAGATAACATATTAAATTATGAAATTGAAGCTGCCTTTCTATTAATTTATTTATTGAATAAACAGACGTTCAGTCCTTGTGAGAGGTGAGAGATACATCAATTCTTTACAAACACATTCATAATGAGGCTATACATTACTGTGGTTGAGATTTCAATAACGAAAATAATATTTAAAAATCAAATAACAATATTATTCATATTCCAAAAGTAAATTCATCAAAAAATTTTCTATTGGAGAAGAGGATTCACCAAATGTATCCATTTTCAACTGATTACATAAGTTGCTCTTTCATGACATTGGACTGTTTGCCAAATAGGAAAAATTATAATACATTATTTCAAATATAATTGA